GGGGGGTTTGAATTTTAGTGTCTAAAACAATAGCGTTGTTTTCATGTGGTTACTTTACCTTTGTGACTTAGTAAAGACTGCATATTTAAGACTATGGACCTTTTTCCAATCCATCAAAGTCTTGCATAAATGTTTAAAATTAAACTTAGAACTTTCAAGCATTTGAATACAGCAACAACAACAAAAAACCCAGTGTAATCCCAAAAGCATTTGAATACACAAATGTATAAGGAGAAGACCAATGTAAACCAATCAAACTAAAATTGTTAATCATCTTTCGGTCGAGAATGATACACATATGAAGCAAGCAAGTAGAAACTTAATAAAAATAGATACTCTACCATGATGTGGAGCAAACGCAATTGAGATAATGTCACCATGACGTAGTCTGACTTCAGGGCTACCTTTGTTCAGCTTTTCCCAATTCAGATACGTCCCATTTGTGCTGTAGAGGAACTAAAATAAGTCAGTAAACTCCTGTATCAAGTTGCATCACAAAAGTTCCACAAATGATGTTCAACCTTGAATCTTTCAGAAAGACTGCAGTGCAACTGTTGGCAGAGCCCTCCACATCTTCGCTGACGACCTTTTTCCTGTAGATCTTGCAATGTTGAGCACTAACAGCTGGAGACAAAATCTGGAAACGGGTATCATCTACCAACCGACCAATGCAGTGTTCTTCAGATGTAAGAAGCATGTTCATTCCCTATTATATAAGGACACGAGAAATGCTTCAATAATATAAAGCATGATGTGCTACATAATATAAAAGTGACAAGTTGGCCTTTTCTTGTTTAGTAAACCCTCACTTCATTGATTGCTAAACCTCAATCAATCAGATGAAAGGGGGCAGAACCCAGCAAGAGGATATACAAATTGAAGGTATATCCTCATATATTTACTCTACCACCTGTGGTGGTAAAGAAAACCAAATGCCAAAATCTCCATATCAAATTGAAATTTTCAATTCCAGTACATCTTCTGATGCATCTCGAGCTACCTATATTTTATGTGACAGTTCCAACTTCCAAACCCTCATCTAACGCAAGTTTGCAAGGATCCATCCAAGACTAAGCTTGCATACTTCATTTCTGCTTGAATACTCAAGTATTTTTATCTTTGATTTGTAGCTGGATACTCAAGTATTTTTATGAAGAGAATACTCAAGTATTTTGTCACATCCAGACATTATATGATGATGCTCCGTACCAGATCTTCAGCTTTGGGGTCTAGGCTTTAAAGATATCTCTTCTGAAAGTTAGGATGTAATAATTTGTTCGTGTCCTACCCTTCAAGATATAATATTTTGTATGCACCAGCTTATTTCTGGTGGCCATCCTATTTTTGTAGAGCATTAAACCATCTTGAGGCCTGAAGCCATTATTAATAGAGCTATCAGGTCCCAAATTATGAGCTCTACCAGTTAATACAGACACTCAATAGCTAACAAATTAAACATGGAGTGAGAATTTATCATTTTGGTCCACTCTACAACTTACCTTCAGAAAACTCAATTTTTCATACTTCATAGACTCCGCAAATGTGAGCCTCATCGCGTAGCACGAAAAAAGATAATCAGACTTTATGTGATGGAGTTCAAATAATTCAAAGAAAAATCAGCCTCAACATTTTCTACATGGCATACAAATGTCTGAAAAGGACCAAAAAGAGAACTCTAAGAAAAAANCTAAGAAAAAGGAGCCAATTGAAAATTGTGGAGGTATTGAAGAAGAATAGAGACCTGAAGACGCTTGCGGGCCTTATCGGAGATGGCAGTTAAGACGCCCCAAACGTCAGGATCAGAGTACTGCAAAGGCTGAGACGCAATTTTCGAAGCCACCGATAGTATAAAATCTTCAGGACTCAGCGGATTTCTCTGCAACAGAGATTTATCAGTGCCATTGGCATCGGTAATTTTGTAGTTGTTATTGCCATTACAATTGCTACGGGGAAGGGAAGAACATGATTCGGAGAGAACCGGAGACTGGTCTTTACTAGGGTTTGAGTTCGGTTTAGAAAGCAGTGGAGTTGTAGGATTATCGTCTTCCTTCGCCATTCATGCACTGATTCCGTGAACTCTCAGTCTCACTCAGTGTCAGTGTGTGAAAAAAAAAAGGCGGGGATTTTGAGAACCCTAATTTATGGAACCGGGTTTTGTCTAGCTTGCTGGGGAAGCTGAGTGAGCTTTTTGTTTGATTTCTTCTCTAGGCCCCCAAACTTTGGTCTTTTGATTATTTTGTACTACTTCCGTTCTTTCTTCGCCACGAGTGGCAAATGGACGGGTTGGGTCAAATTTGGACGGGTCAAAACAGATTGTGTTGATATTCGGGTCATGACCCAACTCGCTTAAAATTTTGCTTGGGTCAAAATGAATTGGATTAAGATAGGTCAAATAACGGGTCATAACTCAACTCGCCCAACTATTACTTAAATAAAATTGTATTATGTGTACTGCAAGTTATAATTATTCATCATCTATTTTTGTCAAATGTTAGTTTTAGGATCGTATCTTGTCTTCTGACGTAATTCAAAACTTGATTGAAAGCATTTAAAAAATTTAATAGTTGGGTTATGTTATCTTTTAATAACAATCAAAAAGATTTAAATTTAGTCAAAAGGGCAGCATAATTTCTGCTTTAACTTTTCCCTGACAAAAAATCTTTCTCTAAAACAAAGTCTACAACTTTAAAAAAAATGTAAACTAGTGAATAATAATTTAGTAAAAACCAATATTATAATTGTTACCTTACATAAATATATCGGCTAGCTTGCAGAATGTATTTTTTTTTTCTTCATATCTTCATGAATCATGCATTAATCTATAAAGAATTCTCCAAATCAATTTCACAAAAGTTTAAAGATGCCTAAGAAATTACAAGTTGTATGATTTTAATATATAGTGCAATCATTTACCTAAAAGAAATTTTGTGAAAGAAAACATCATCTCTAAAGGCATTTAGGACAAGGTTATGTTACAAATGGGAAATTTTAAAATGCAATTAAATATGTTATAATAAAATATAGGCATTTAGGAGAAGTTTGGTTTGTCTTAGAAGACACAACTAGATGAAAGTCAGGAAAGTCACGGGTTGATAAACTGACCCGTTGAGTGACCCAATTTGACCCGTTGCAGAGATAGGTCAGTTTGGGTTACAACCCAAATTGACCCGATAAGAAAAAATCACTGACCCAACCCATTAAAATTTGGGCGGGTTACATAATTATGGGTCAAATTTGACACCTCTATATGGCACCATAAAATACTACTTAAAGCTTAAAAAATGTGTGATTTATTAATGTGATTTTTGAGCTTTGACATGTGGTTCTATTTTACAAAGTATTTAGGACTCGATGTTTGAACTAATGCAAAATATTTAATAAGTTAACTTGAATCGTGTTATTCTTTTCTTTTTGTTGGACGAAGAGAGTGTTTGGCTAAGCTTATAAGTTAGTTAAATTGGCTTATAAGTACTTTTTGACTTATCTACGTGTTTGGTAAATATTCAAAGTACTTATAAAGCCAAGTGCTTATAGGCTAAAATCAATCATAAGTTATAAGTTGGTGACACCCAACTTATGGCTTTTCAGCTTATAAGCACTTTTAATTTGACCAAGACTTTTACTAGTTTTTCCTTCACAATATTTTTTAACTCATAATATATTTTTTCCAAAATAAATTTTCTAACTTTCTCTTCATACTATATTTGTTGTTCATCGTTTTCTTTACAAAGAAATTTTTTAATTTATAATTTTTTGTAAAGTTTTAACGGTATTTTAGTCATTTTAACAAAAGAATAGTTTATCAGCACTTTCTACCAAACACATCAACTATTTATTTTCAGTTTCAGCACATCTATCCAAACACGTAAATGTTTATTTAAGAAATCAGTTTCAGCACTTAAAAATAATTTTCAGGGCTCAAAATCCTTGAAATCCATTCGGCACTTAACTTCCAAATGTTCTATATTCGAGCCCTTGTGGCTTGTGTTACGAGTCCGCAATGCATTCTCAAAAGGAATTTTTACATTCCTATGCCATATAGAAAACTATATGACCCTCAATGTTTAAGGTTTGATATAATTACATTTAGTATACCTAATTACCAATTATATACCATTTGTGATTTTTAAGGGTATTAATTATACTCTTAATTTAATAGTACCATATATTCCTTCTAATACCACTCCCCCCACCCCCCCACGTTTCTCTCTCCAATTCCCACACCTTCACCCACGTTTCCCTCCCAAACCCATGATTTCTATATCAAAATCCCATTATTTCTTCCATAGCCAAGGCACTGTCGGCACCTCTGCAATCTTGTCCCAATGTTTTTGTGCCCGGGGAAGATAAGCACAAGCCTGGTCGATTTGATGGTTATGATTTCGGGTTCCTTCAGTAATATAAGAGGAAAGGAAAAGAGAGCAGCAATTCCACTATTGACCGCCATTAAAAAGCTTTGAAACTTTGAATTCAAATTTGGGTTTTCAAAAATCATTATTTGTTTGGATTGGGTGTAGTTGTAAATTATTGGGAATATGGTTTGGAGTTTATATCTCAATTTTGAGGAGTTTTGTTGAAGATTAGACTTGGTTTTGGCTGAATTTCATATTGAAACTCGAAGAAGAAGAAGAAGACATGACATACATTACATTGCAGCAATTGTAGATAAATTGTAGACTGTTGTTTATTTATTTTTGAGCTTTTGTGTTTTTGTGTTAAAAGTTTTGATGGTAGCTTGTTATTCCACTTCGTCTGTTTTGGAGCTAACTTGTGCAGAAGAGAAGATGTTTTTTAAGTTATATATATTGTTATACCTTTAAATTCAAGAAAGTATGGTTGTATTGTATTTAAAAATGCGTGAATTTGTAGAATAGGTTGAATGTGAGGAATGAGTCAAATAAGACTCACAATGACTTGTTTTCTACATTTAATTTACAACAAAACTACATATCATTTGAAAAATTAATATGAAAATACAGAATTTCAATGTTTCTACAAATTATCTACAAAATGTTCATAACAGAATTTATTTTTATTTTCATGCATGTTGTCACACCTCATTTTTACACACCTGGAGGGGTATAAGGGAGTTTTTCCACTTTAAGTGACATTATTCGAAATGAGATTATTTATTCATTTTATTCAGAGTCGCCACTTGGGATGATTTGTTTTCTGGTGTCCCAAGTCACCGGTTTATTTTAAATCCCAAATCGAGGAAGTTTCGACTTTCCTTTTGAAGTCTGCGAACCAGAAATTCTGAATAAGGAATTCTGTTAACCCGAGGGAAGGTGTTAGGCACCTCCGGATTCCGTGGTTCTAGCACAGTCGCTTAAACTATTACAATTGGCCTACTATCTGATTTTAATACATGTTTTAGCCTATGGTATACTTTTAACTTGTTAGCCGCTTTTAAATTATTTTTAGGAAGATTCAACATTATTTAAAACACGTCTTTGAACCTCGCCACATGAAATGCACCCACAGTCCGCGACATATTTTATTTAACGTTATTGAGATTTGGATTTGGGTCACATGAAATGCACACCCGAGTTTAGGAAAATAATTTTTTAAAATAGCGCGCCTAAAGAAAATATGTACTTCCAAATTTGCGAGGGCCATGGAAATTCCACTAAATGGTACTCCTCAATTTCTAAGAATTAAAATAGTAATTAAGCGAGGGCCATGCATTTTTTGAGATTTTATTTGGCACGGCGCACCTCGATTCTGATTTAAAGGGAAACTCAAACTAAGCTTTGAAAGGTCATAAGCTATTTGTGTTATCTAATACGGCTCACCTCCACTAATTAATGAACCTAATTAATTTATTAAAGGCTAAAGGAAACTTCTAATTTATTTTTAGGCTAATGGCTAAACTAATTACTGAATGGTCAACTATGTGATGAATGAAACCCAAACTCAGTTTGTTGTGAAGGCCCAGGCCAGCGACGGGTCCTAATTGCCCGTCGCCACTTCCTTTGGTAAGCACACCAACACAATTGGGCTAAATACGAAGCCCAAATCGAGAAGGCAATCGCTAATGAAGAGGTTTAGCACCACTGGGCCAACACAGGTGGCCCAGTTTAACGTTTCAACACTAGTACTTGGACAAACATTACAATTTTATAAGGCAAACCTTTAAATTTGAGCCAAATACAAATGAACTCAATCACAACATGAGGCACAATTGAGTACTAACATATATCCTATACTGAAAAATTGATTCATAATATGATAACAAAACCTTTACACAAATGATTCCTCATTAATATCAAGATTCAGGGATCGATTCTCCTACTGTATTCTGATTTCAACTCAACATACTTAGACAATACCACACGGCTCGAAATTTCCTAAAGCAAACCCATGTAGAGAACTAAAATAAAACTGAGAAATTCTCAAAGCCAAAATCAAACTTAACTTCATTTTTTCTTTTTTTTTTGAAAGTCCTTTCGAAAGGTTCAGAGTGCTCATTACATAAGTAGGGGCAGTAATAAGTTATAAATTCCTGAAATCAATGGACTATGTTTCAAACAAAATCATTTTTTCCTGAATTCAATACAAGCAGCATTATCCAAACCCCTTTTACCCTATCCAAACTCCCATACCAAATTATAAAAAACCATGCCGAGCTTTAAGCCTTGAATCAAAACCTCAATACAAGCAACAGACAGAACTTGGTATGTCAACTATTCTAAAGTTTAGTACTCAGAAATTTCAGCAGAACCAAACAAAAGATTAAATATACACACCTTATACTACATAGAAAACTAATAGGATTCTCACATAATTAAACTAACACAACACATGAGTGAAACGAAATAACAGAGGAACAAAAGTCGAATAGCATGAATCTTCCATTATGTCCATGCTCAATTGTACATTCACACTCCACAGATTTATCAAAGGGCAAAATGATACCTGAAAATGAAAAAGGAAACCAAGAAGTGAAGAAGCAGCAAAGAGCAGCATCAGTAACCCAGCAAGAAAACAACAATGAAATAGATTTCTAACAGCAGCTCAAAACCAAGCTTCAGAACCTAAAACTCAAGTCATTTTAACCAAGTGCAAGGTTTTGAAATTTTCAGAAAATGCTCAGCTAAACAATGAAATCAAAGAACACTAGAAGCCAAGCAGAATTTAAACACTTTTTCTAAAGAAATGTCGTGAGGTTCAGTGTTATTCCGGAATTCT